AGGAACCAGCTCAATACAATCACTAGTGCCAGTTGTACTGTTGCACAGAGATATATTTTTTATAAATGAAAAAACCTTTGAAGCTGAGTGTCTTAATTTGCTAGGGTTGCAGAAACAAAGTACCAGGAACTGGGTGGTTTAAACAACAGAAATTGATTGTCTCACAGTTCGGGAGGCTGGAGTCGGAGGTGAAGATGTTTGCAGGATTGCCTCCTTCTGGGGGCTGTGAGAAAATCTGTTCTATGCCTCTCCTCTGGCTTCTGGTATGGCAATCTCTGGCATTTCCCTGGCTTGTAGAAACATCACCATGATCTCTTCCTTCATCTTCACAGGGTATTTGCCCTGTGTGTGTGTGTGTGTCTGTCTCCAAATTTTCCATTTTAATAAGGACACCAACCATAATGGATAAATAAGCCTACCCTAATGACTTAATGATCTTTGTAAAGAGTCTCTCTCCAAATAAGGTCACATTCTGAAGTACAGGGAGTTAAGACTTCCTTTAACACTGAGCATGGCCAACTGTATATCACACACACCCTTTCTCTGGTGAGTCTACCCTCCCAACTGCCCTAGCTGAGGTGTTATAGAATGTCCAATTCACTGAAGAAGTCCTATTTCATAGGGTGCAGCTCCTGTCCAGAATAATATGAAAATAATAAAGCCACAGTGATTCAAAATTGAAAATTGTCCCTTCTGCCAGCCCAATCCTGCTTCAGGCTTAGAAGCCTGCAGTGGAAAAGTTAATGTCGTTGGCTTCCTTCCTCGCTCCACCTCTTCTCCTCACTTCTGCTGTTTGCAACCCTTACAGAATCGGGCCTAGAGAGGCTTAAGGGACAAAAGCTGTTCAATTGATGGCTGGGATGTATGCCTTTGGCTCAGGTGCTTTCTGGATGGCAGATGTGTGCTTCTCCTTGGTATGTTCCTGGGAGATCCTCCTGCTAAGCCTCCCCCTTCAGCTCTCTTGATGCAGTGCGCCTCTCCTCCAGCTGACCCTTGCTTTTGGTGCTCCACCCCCTACTAGTGACTTCCCGCTCTCTAAGTTGTACTCTCTTGGAAAACTCTCTTTTTAAAAGCAACTCCATGTCAGTTATCTTCCATGGAGTTTGATTTGGTTCATGGGAAACAAGAACATTTGCTGTTAGTGGAGGTGTGATCTACTCCCAGTGCAGCCTTTTAAACTCAGCTGATGGGTAGACAGAGCTCAGCCACAGTGTCTCACCTTTAGACTTACTATTCAGGCTTGAATCAAATCCTACTGTCTGTGTCCATCTAAGTCCGGTAGTTGCTTGTCTAGCTCTTCAGGTAGTGCCCTAGAAGCCTTCCCAGGCAGGTGTGAGGTGAAGGATAGCATTCTTCTCTTTTCCCACATAGACAGAGGCAGGAGTGGATACACTGTACACTCACACCCTCCAGCAACATATGCTTCTCAGACCTCTTCAACCTTAGCTTATAGGCAGCTAGAGGAGACTGAGTGGCTAAGATGAGCAGAGTTAGATAAAGCTTCACCCTTTGCAAGTGCCACATGGATGGGTCCATTCTGTGTCTCTATGCAGGTGTTAACTATGCCACTCCAGGAGGTATCTCAACAGCTAAAGGAGAGGGAAGAAGACTGGAGTTGGTATAGTATCATTTGCAGAGGAAAACAAATGACTGTATCTTGTTACAGAAGAAGACTGGGCCATCAAATGTGAATTTGGAGGGCATCCCTTCATTTCATTTAGACTTGTAAGCATCAGGAAACACATTTAAATACAAAATTTCTTATGTCTGTTTTGTCAATTTGTAGAAATTGACACAATTTTTTTTTTCTTTCTTTCTGTTTCTGAGACGGGGTCTTGCTCTGTCCCCCGGGCTGGCATGCAGTGGCACGATCTCAGCTCACTGCAACCTCCGCCAACTGGGTTCAAGTAATTCTCCTGCCTCAGCCTCCCGAGTACCTGGGATTACAGGCACCCCTCACCACCACACCTGGCTTTTTTTTTTTTTTTTGGAGAGACGGGGTTTCATCATGTTGGCCAACCAGGCTGGTCTTGAACTCCTGACCTCAGGTGATCCGCCCGCATCGGCCTCCCAAAGTGCTAGGATTACAGGCATGAGCCACCACACCCAGCCTGTTTCTTTAGCACATTTGGATTGACTTAGCGAAAGAGAACTAACCTATTATAGCTTCCCATTTTTGCCCATGTGACTGTACAGTATCTCTGAAGAATGTTTTCTTATACCAGAGGGCAATGGAAAGGGTGTGTGTGTGTTGAATCCAAAAGCAGTACTGTGTTCATTGTTTTATTCTACAGGATCTTTCTGCTCTAAAGATACAATATAAACATTAGTTCTTTGCTGTATTTAATTTTATTGCAATAGAATCCATTCGGCATTTTAAAACGTGATTGTATCTCTATAGAAAATCAGATTTGGAATAAGAAAAGATTAGCTCAAGTTCATTGCATTTGTATTATTTACTTGGATAATTATTGTTTATTTGCCTATGTAGTATAAAAGCATTAATTCCTTAGGCCTTAAGAAAATAGATCATACTAGGTAGAAGAGATCACAGGGACCCTAAGTTGAAGAAAGTAGAAATTTCAGTAATAAAACCTGATATGCAGATAAGCAGCACTATTAAAACCAACTTGTTTTGACAGTTAAGTCGAAAATAAATATAGGGGCCAGGCACGGTGGCTCACGCCTGTAACACCACCACTTTTGGAGGCCGAGGTGGGTGGATCAGTTAATGTCAGGAGTTTGAGACCAGCCTGGCCAACATGGTGAAACCCTGTCTCTACCAAAAATAGAAAAATTAGCTGGGTTTGGTGGCACGTGTCTATAATCCCAGCTATTCAGGATGCTGAGGCAGGAGAATCGCTTGAACCTGTGAGGCAGAGGTTGCAATCAGCCAAGATTGTGCCACTGCATTCTGGCCTGGGTGACAGAGCGAGACTCTGTTTCAAATAAATGTCAATCTATCTGTCTTTCAAGAATAAGCCTAAAATAGTTGTGGAAGACAGGATAATATATGAAGTATCACTTGTTACTTCACGGTCGTGGCGGGACAAGGAACCTAAAGACATTGGTACTGCTCTCACTGGGAAAGGAGAAGGGAGGCCCAGTGGTTAATTCTTTGTATCTTAAGTATTTGGACATAAAGAATAAAATGGGAGTATATAGGTGTCTTATTCCATTTTGTGTTGCTATAAAAGAATACCTGAGACTAGGTAATGGATAAAGAAAAGGTTTATTTAGCTCAAGGTTCTGCAGGCTGGGAAAGTTCTGCAAGCCCTGGTTTCTGGGGAGGCTTTTTATAAAGCTGTGTCACAACATAGCAGAGAAGGTCAAAGAGGAAGTGGATAACTGCAAAGATAGAAAACCTGAGGAGCATCCTGGCTTTATAACAGCCTCCATTCATGGGAACTCATCCATTTCCACAGGAACCAATCAGTTTCATCAGAGCGAGAACTCACTCACTACTACGTGAAGGGCATCAAGCCATTTATTAGGGATCTGCCACCATGATTCGGATATCTCCCACTAGGCTCCACCTCCCAAGACTGCCACATTGGAGATCAAATTTCAGTATGAGTTTTGATAGGAACAAATCAAATCCAAACCATAGCAGTAGGCAGCATAGAAAACCAATAAACCTGAAAATAAACTGAGATAGGAAATGAATACAGAAATATATTACATATTAAATGGACAAAGACATATTAAAAGCTTGCATTCCCTAGACATTGTATACTAATAGGACCTATAGTTGTAAACATTAAATTGTGGAGTTACAAAGATGCAATATGAAATAATACTAACACAGAAAAGTTTGCTTCTGGTTATATGCCATATTTTATACAAAAAGAAGGAAACCTCTAGTGGATGAAAACAAAAGTAATCAAAGTTTTTAATGAGTATTGGCCAAGCATGGTGGCCCACGCCTATAATCCCAGCACTTTGGGAAGCCAAGGCGGGCAGATCACTTGAGGTCAGGAATTCAAGACCAGCCTGGCCAACTTGGTGAAACACCATCTCTACTAAAAATACAAAAATTAGCCTGGCTTGATGGCAGACGCCCATAATCCCAGCTACTTAGGAGACTGAGGCAGGAGCATTGCTTGGACCCAAGAGTCAGAGAAGGTTGCAGTGAGCCAAGATCATGCCACTGCACTTCAGCCTGGTGACAAAGTGAAACTAAGTCTCAAAAAAAAAAAAAAAATTTTTTTTTTTTTTTATTTTAAGGAGCATTAACAAGAGCAGTACCTATTTATTTTTGTACATCATATGCCCCCAAAAAGAAAAACCCAGTTTCAGGTATGAGCTAAGGTGTTGTTTGAGTTGTGTATTTTAAATCATCACTGATTTTTGTTTCATACAAAATTGGCTTTCGGATTTTTAGAACTTTCACAGATAGTTTTAGAACTGTCCTTCCAGCTATGGGAAATCATTATTAACCAGTATGACAACTAGCCACATTCTGTGATGGTATTTCACTTCCTAATGCATTGTGGGAAGTTGGCTTTCCTCTTAAAAACGCAATTGCACTTTCATCCTGCCAGAGGGCTTAGAAACATGCAGCTACCGATTTATTGTCCCCAAAGCCCCTAGAAGGTATAGCAGAGAACTGGAAATTTAAAAATCATTTTATATTTGTTAATTTATCCATCCATTTAAGTTATTTGTTGAAAGCTTCTTATGTGATAAACAAGTATGTTGAGATGTTCAGACAGAGTGATTAAGACATGTCCCTGTGCTGAAGGAACTCAATCTTCTGGGGTTTTTTTCTTCATATCTTCCCCCAAATTTTTAACTTTATATAAATTTAGACTTGGTTTCTGTTGAGTGTTTTAGTAATTTGAGACATTTTATTGCAGTACAGTGCAAAGTATTAATGGGCTAAGTATATTAAATGTTATATTTGTAAGATCTCTTGCTTTGTCTGTGACCATGAAAGTCTCAGTGAAAAGGACCCTAAATCATAGCTCTGGTTTAAATGTTTCTCAACATTATTGCAGAGACTCTCCAACTTGTGCCTTCTGACCATGCAAATGAAACTTCCAACAGCACTATGAAACTACCAACTACAGCTGCCTCAGTCTCCAGCAATAAGACAGTCACCACCATGAAACCCACAGCAGCAGCTAATACGACAACACCAAGGATGGTCTCAACAAATACAACTGCCACCTTCAAGTCTACACCCAAAACAACAAGTGTTTCACAGAACACATCTCAGATAGCAACATCCACGATGCCCATAGCTCACAATAGTTCAGTGACATCTGTTTCTTCATCAGTAACAAGTATGTATTAAAGTTGACCTGTTTTTCCTATGCTGCAAGTAGTTAAATGCCACATTTAGGCCATCATCTTATCTGGCAAAAACATATAGAAATTTTATATGCCTAGATTTCCCTTAAATCCTAGTTTTAGAAAATCAGCATTATAATTATAATGTTTAAAAAAAAAAAAAAAAAAAAGCATTAAAGGCTTTTTTGTTTTTGTCCTAGTTACAGCAACTATGCATTCTGAAGCAAAGAAAGGATCCAGATTTGATACTGGGAGCTTTGTTGGTGGTATTGTATTAACGCTGGGAGTTTTATCTGTTCTTTACATCGGATGCAAAATGTACTACTCAAGAAGAGGCATTCGGTATAGAACCATGTAAGTTTTGAATGGCCAGGACTTAAAAAAAAAAAAAAATTGTTTCTGCACATCTTTAATTATGATAGAACATCAGGCAAGTGTTCATTTCAGTGATGAATAATTGATAGATTTATGAGTTATATTCCCATTAACCCTTCTGGCCCAAAGTAAATTGTTTATGTACAAGCTTGTGATTATAATTATTTGCAAATGAAAATGGATGTATCTACTTACAAAAATGTATTTTACTAGTGTCAAACACACTTTGCAAGAGACCAAAGTTAACCCACCCCCAAATTTTCACTTACTCATACCACTAATCATAAGAAATACAGTTCTCAGCAGGCTTAATATGTCTGTGTCTGTTGTAGTACTAAATAGCATCCTTGGTAAAAACATGGCTTTTTCTTTCCATGACAAAGATAAACAAAAGAAATTCCTCTGACAGCCTCATTGTCCCTGATAATTTAAATGAGTGGTTAGTATAAATAATATATCACTTTATCTGTAGCAAAACTGTCTTTTTAGATGTGCATTATCAACAAGACCTAATCAACAAACAATGTTTACCCTACATGTAGCTCTATAGGTCTTATGGTTTGGGAATATATCCAAACTTTTGTTGTGCTAATAGTCCTTTCGGTTTTTGTTTTTTGAGTCTTACATGTTGTCCTAGTTCACACTGATACAACAAAGTATCATACAGCTGGGTTCCTTAAACAACGGGCATTTATTTCTCACACTTCTGGAGGCTTGGAAGTCCAAGATCAGGGTGCCAACAAGTTTCAGTTCTGCTAATGGCCTTCTTCCAGGTTGCATACCACCAACTTCCCATTGTATCCTCACATGGCAGAAAGAAACTAGCTAGTTCTCTGACCTCTACTTGTAAGGGTATTAATTCTGTTCAAGGGGGCTCCACCCTCATGACTTAACTACCCCTCCAAGGCCCCACTTCAAAATATCATCACACTGGGATTAGAGTTTCAACATATTAATTAGGGTTTCAACATACTAATATTAATTAGGATTTCAATAAACCATTCCTCCTTTTGCATATATGCAAGAGCTAATTCATTTTTAAAAATTGTTAATGTATATAAATATTATCGAACGGATGACCTTTTCCAAAATTTGCTCTGTGGGTTAACATTTGACATACATGTGTCCCACACACAGAACTCCTATATCAAAAAGTTTGGGAAATGTTCAATTGAATAAAGTAAACTAAAACAGTTTACTGTAAGACTGCTTTAAGCCTTTAAAATGCTGATTTATATTATGATTTTCCAGGAAGGAATACAGTACGAATTGTTTCCCAAATTTTTAACCAAAATACTTGTTGAATGAATAAATCCTTCCTCTTGCCCCTTTTCAAGGGGAGCTAATACTGTCTGTCTCTTGGAACTAGTATTGTGTGGAATACATTTTGGAAAATGTTGGAATAGGCCATTGGAGGGAACCTTCCAGTTTTGATACTACATACGATTCAATACGCATAAAAGCAAATCAAACTTCTTGACAAATTTGTAAGAAGTACTAAATAAGAACATGAAAAAGTTTCCCAGATTTTCAATTTATTAATATAAGCTGAAAATAAACATCACATCATAAATGAAAATGGGATCTAACAGTTAACATTACTAATACTTAAATGAAAATGATAATTTAAGAACAGATTTTATTTATTTTTTGAGATGGAGTTCCCCTTTTGTTGTCCAGGCTGGAGTGCAATGGTGCAATCTCAGCTCACTGCAACCTCCGCCTCCCAGGGGTTCAAGCGATTCTCCTGCCTCAGCCCCCCGAGTAGCTGGGATTATAGGTGCCTGCCATCATGCCCAGCTAATTTTTTATTTTTAGTAGAGATGGGGTTTTGCCGTGTTGGCCAGGCTGGTCTCAAACTCTTGACCTCAGGATGATGTGCCCACCTCGGCCTCCCAAAGTGCTGGGATTACAGCATGAGCCACCACGCCCAACCTTAAGAACAGATTTTTAAAAGTTATATTTAAATAAAATTACATTATATATATTTATCATATCAAATTCCCTTTAGCTTCCAAGATCAGATGAGATCAGACATCTTCACAGTGGTGTGGCTGTAGGCTCAAACTAATTTTAAAAGAATATCAAGGTGGTGTTTTGTCAGATTAAAGGCATATTCAGAAACATTCTTTCTTTTTTAAGATCAGTGCACAAAAGAATATATAAAGTATGACTAAAAAGAGCGCTTTGCAGTGGGCAGGTCTGGGTAAACCTACCCTTAAAGTCTGAGGAAGCTAAGAGGCCAAAGGAAAAAAGGCTGACATACCCAGTTTCTCGGAAACTTTTTTTTTCTTTGAAACCTGGTCTGGCTCTGTCACCCAGGCAGGAGTGCAGTAGTACGATCTTGGGTCACTGCAACCTCAGCCTCCTGGGCTCAAGTGATCCTCTCATCTCAGCCTGCTGAGTAGCTGGGACTACAGGCATGCAGTGCCACACCAGGCTAATTTTTAAAGTTTTTGTAGAGATGACGGTCTCACTATTTTGCGTAGGCTGGTCTTCAAACTGTTGGGCTCAAATGATCCTCCGTTCTGACCTCCTAGAGTGCTGGGATTATAAGCATGAGCCACTGTGCCCAGCTAGAAGGAAATATTTAATAGGGATTTACAAACAGAAGCCATGTCTGTGTCTCTGATGGCAGCAAGACAAGACAGTGGTTCCCCATGCCATTAACCCCCAGATCCTTAACCACTACAGTATACTGGATACTTAAGGAACTTTACACAGAACAATGACAATTTTGGTTGTGAAGCTTGAAATTGTCCTAATGTTACTTTACTAACAAATATGAACATAAGTGGTTTTGACAACAATACAAAACAAAGTAATTGTAACTTTTAATATATTACAGAGATGAACATGACGCCATCATTTAAGGAAATCACGGACCAAGGAAGGAAGACAGATGGATGTAGCCCTATCAATTAATTTTGGTTTATTAATAGTTTAAAACAATATTCTCTTCTTGAAAATAGCATACAGGCCATGCATAAAATGTACAGTGTATTACATAAATATGTAAAGATTCTTCAAGGTAACAAGGGTTTGGGTTTTGTAATAAACATCTAGCGCTTATAGAATACAATGGTTTATATTCACTTTTTAGCAATTTCATAGTAAGACAAGTCCTATCTTTTTTTTTTTTTTTTTGTGGCATTGGTTACGTATGACCAGTAATTGAAAGATGTCATCACTGAAAGACAGAATGCCATCTGGGCATACAAATCAGGAATTTGTCACAGCACTCAGGATTTTGAGTATCTTTGTAGCTCACACAAAGAACTTCAGTGCTTTTCGGAGCTGGATATATCCTAATTACTAATGCTACACAACAGAAATTATACAATCAAGTGAATCAGATCTGAAGCACAATTTAAGAAAAACATCAACATTTTTTGTGCTTTAAACTGTAGTAGTTGGTCTGGAAACAAAATATACCAAGAAAAAGAAAATTTTCAAATAAAACCCAAAATAATACCTCTGCTTAGCCCTGTTAGAGATCCATTGAAGTATTGAAGAGCATATATGTTTATTAATAACTTCTTTTGAGCTTTTAATGTTGATGTAATTTTTGTTCTCTGTGTAATTTAGGTAAACCACAGTGTTTAAACATGATAATGTTTTAAAGACTTAGTTACTATTAAATAATCCTGGCATTATAGGGAAAAACTCCTAGAAGTTAGATTATTTGCTACTGTGAGAATATTGTCACCACTGGAAGTTACTTTAGTTCATTTAATTTTTATATTTCATGAATATTTTAAGAACTGTAGAGCTGCTTTCTGGAAGTTTTTAATGGAGTGTAAACACACCTAACTTTAAGAAAAAGAACCCCTTGTATGATTTTCAAAATAACATTTAGAATTTGATAGTAGTCATAACTATAGAGTAATACTGTGTTTATTAAGCCAAGGATTGTGGGACTTCCCTAGACTACTAAACTTGCAGGACGAAAATGCTGTTTTTTTTTCATGCACTGTCAGTTTTACTCAGAGATTTGGGGAAATGACATTTTTATACTGAAACACCAACATTTTCGAATAAATTCTTAGGAAGTTTTGAGAGGAATTTTTAGACAGGACGTTTTCTGCTTCCTGATTGGGATATTTCTTCAGATCCCTCCTCTTAGTCCATGCTGAAGGAGAGGTACTTTTAGATGCATTATGTTAATGAGAGAAAAAGCACAGTACTGCAGAGACACCAGTATTACCCAATGTATTCTGGAGTGTTTTCAGTTTTATAATAAAGTTTATATTCTAGCACATAAAACTCAGGGTCAAGTTTTAGCAAGAGAGGTATGTAGTCACAGTAAATACTAAGATTGCATTTCTATCTTAGAGGGCCAAAGTAAATCACACCAGTTTCTGAAGGTCCCAAAAACAGCTCAGATGTCCTAATGAACATGTGCCTACATTTAATAGGAATGAAATAAAACTGTTGTGGTCAGCTTTTGGTTTGCAGAGAATGCTAGATAAGAATTTTGAAATGGATTGTTTCTACTTGCTGTGCATTATAACCAATAATCTGAATACAGAAAAAAATTATCCAAAATATGGATATAATTAGATGTATGTAACGTGTAGACTATGGAAGAAATTTTTTTAAAAATCCATTTAGATTAGTTTGAAAAGAAATGTAGGCTGATGGCTGAGTTGTATATGTTGCTAACTTGGCCCTGACTGGTTATGCAACCATTGCTTCATTTCTTTGCAAAATGTAGTTAAGATATACTTTATACTAATGAAGGCCTTTAAAATTTGTCCACTGCATTCCTGGTATTTCACTACTTCAAGTCAGTCAGAACTTTGTGGACCGACCTGAAGTTTCTTCTTGAATACTTGTTTCTTTAGCACTTTGAAGATAGAAAAACCACTTCTTAAGTACTAAGTCATTTTTTGGTTTCAAATAGTTCAGTTATGTCTTTTCTCTGTACATAAGTAGATAATTTGTTACTTTCAAATACCAGTACTAGGCAGGTTTTTTTGTTGTTGTTATCTATAAAAATTGAAGGAAGTGGTTATGCAAAACAATATTTTGCTTTGGACCATATTTCCTAAGCATAAACTTACCCTCCTAATTATATTTACTTAAGAAAATGCTCAATTTTGCTTGCATTCCTTGAGAATGTATTTATTTGAAGATCAAAACAATCCAGATGTATGTCTGTCTACTTGGCAGAAGCCAGTCTATAATCTTAAAATTTCCTTGAATAATCCATTAAAGGAATAATTCAAATACAGATAAACAAGAGTTGGCAGTATATTATAGTGATAATTTTGTATTTTCAGGAAAAAAACTCTTCTTTTTATTATAATGATCAGCTTTTGGTATTTCGTTGTTACCAAGATCTATTTTTAGAATAAAATTGTTCTCCATCTAAAAGTTTTAAGTGTGTGGTTTTGTTTCATTTCATTAAACTCAAGATAAATAGAAAATTCTCAAAATAAAAAGGCAGGTTGTAAGTGTGGTTGTCTGGGTAAGGAGCAGCAGCATTACCTTGAAACTTAGAAAATGCAAATTCTTGGGCGTGTTCCTGTAATCACAGCTACTTGGAAGGCTAAGGAAGGAGAATCGCTTGAACTCAGGAGATGGAGGTTGTAATGAGCTGAGATCACGCCACTGCCCTTCAGCCTGGGTGACAGAGTGAGACTCCGTCTCAAAAACAAAACTAGATATAATTTATATCTGAGAATGGATTTAAATATGAAGACAACCAAGGTAAAATGATGCCTTAAGAAAAAAAATAATTTTTGAGACTGAGTTTTGCTCTTATTGCCCAGGCTAGAGTGCAATGGCATGATCTCTGCTCACTGTAACTTCCTCCACCTGGGTTCAACTGATTCTTCTGCCCTGGCCTCCCTAGTAGCTGGGATTACAGGTGCCTACCACCACACCCAGCTAATACTTTTGTACTTCTAGTAGACATGAGGTTTCACCATGTTGGCCAGGCCAGTCTCGAACTCCTGACCTCAGGTGATCTACCTGCTTCAGTCTCCCAAAGTGCTGGGGTTACAGGTGTGAGCCACCACGCCCAGCCAAAAAAATTTTTAAGTGCCGTCCTATAGGCAAGCTCTGATGTCAGATTGCTTGGGATTAAATGCTTGCTCTACCACATACTAGCTGTATGAACTTGGGTAAGTTACTCGTCTTATCCTCCATGTCATCTGTAAAATGGGGATGGTACAGTATTTACTGCACAGGGTTATTGTATGAGGACTGTGTAAGATACTTTATGTAAAGTATTTAGGATACTGTCTTACACAAGTGCTTTTAAAAAGTCTTACTAATCCTGATAAAGCCAATTTGCTGATACCCAAGAAAAAAAAGTACCCTCTTTGGATATTTGTTCACAACTCTGCCTTCCTCCTTGCCTTGCTATGGCTTCACAGTGGGCACAGTTTACTCCCCCAACAATTTGAGGTGTGTGTGTGTGTCTTGGTTTTAGTCCATATGTATGAGAGTGGATGTAATAAACATCATGTCTGTTCTAGGGGGTAAAAATAGCCTCCTAACTTTCAGGTAATCACTTCTTTAAAAATTATGTTATACCTACCAAAAAATGCATAAATCACAAGTATATATTTTGGCAAGTGACATCACCAAAATGGTGGAGTAGGAGACACCAGTCTTCATGCCCCGTCAAAAGAAATAGACTGCTATCCACAAACCAAAATAGCCCTGAAGGGCTCAAGGGCAATTGTCTTTTAAGATACGTCTGTATGAATTAATGAACGGCAAGGTCTCTCTCTCTGTTGCCCAGGCTGGAGTGCAGTGGTGTGAAGCTCACTGCAGCCTCAAACTCCTGGTGGGAGGATCACCTGAGTCTGAGGTGATCCTCCCACCTCAGACTCCCAAGTAGCTGGGACTTAGGTGCCACCATACTTGACTAAGTTTTTGGTGGTTTTGTTTTTGTCTTTCAGTAGAAAAGGGGCCTCACTATTGCCCTGGGCTGGTCTTGAACTACTGAGCTCAAGTGATCCTCCTGCCTCAGTCTCCCAAACTGCTAGGAATACAGGCGTGAGCTATTGCACCTGGCCTCAAGGGCCCATTAAAGAATGCAACAACCTAGTGGAGAATTTAAACAGAATATGTACATAAAGAATTGCTTATGAGATCAGAATTCCTGAGACATCAGGAGATGGCTAAGAAGAAAGGCAGGGGCTATCATCAGCCATGGGACTTGCTCTGCAGAGGATACCACCTTCTTTTGCCACTAAGGTAACCAACAGCCATGGTCAGAGAAAGCTAGTTTGCAAGCCAGAGCCAAGATCTCTCTGCATGTCCACACTCCAAATACCAACTCAGCTGTCACTGACAGCCTACGCTCCAGACCCTGACTCCAAGGCTGGGCTGTGCACACCTATGCTGCAAACAGTAAAGCCACTGCCACAGTAAGGGTGTTTGCACCCTGGACCCCAGAGCCAAGGTTTCTTTTTCCTTTTCTTTTTCTTTTTTGAGACAGTTTCACTTTTGTTGCCTAGGCTGGAGTGCAATGGTACGATCTCAGCTTACCACAACCTCCGCCTCCCGGGTTCAAGCGATTCTCCTGCCTCCCGAATAGCTGGGATTATAGGCATGTGCCACTACACCTGACTAATTTTTGTATTTTTAGTAGAGACAGGGTTTCTCCATGTTAGGCTGGTCTTGAACTCCTGATCTCGGGTGATCTGCCTGCCTCAGCCTCCCGAAGTGCTGGGATTACAGGCGTAAGCCACTGCATCCGGCCTAGAGCCAAGGTTTCTCTATGTGTTTACATCCTGGAGACCAGCTCAGTCATCATCAAGGGCTAGGCCTTGCCCCAACCCTAAAGCCATTGTAGCTGTGTGCACACTTGTGCTCTTGTCCCTGCCTGTTTCACAGCTCCCATACTTCACATACCATTAGCAACTGTCAGCAGGGTGTCTGTGCCCTGGGCACCAGTGCCATTACCACCCCAGAGCTATAGTCCCCTTACACATGATGCTCTGTGGGTGTCACTCATCAGACATCAGTTCCATTGCCACCTCAAGTGGGCTTGCATGCCAGTCCCAGTGTCAAAGAAGGATCCCTACAGAAGAGTTCCATGACCCCACAGACTTGGCAGAGGGAGCTAAGGAACTACCTGGTGACCACACAGAGGTCCCTTGAACTTACATAGAACCACAAAGGCATCCATGTGCTGGACAACTTCAGCAAAGTGCGACTCTGGGCACTAACCCCCAAGACTCTCTGTCCTACCTTAAGCTATTGCAGCTGCTGCTGTCTGCCAGACCAGGCAGTAAGCAGGGTCCAGGCACTGACACTCTTATGTGCCACAAAGGCTACATCTGAGCATACCCCACGCCTGCTCATCCCTTCCAAGACTGCCTGCCTGGTCATTCCCATGGCTTGTTGGGAAAGGAAGGGATGAGTGTGGGCGAACCTGACCCCACAGTGTAGTCCACCATTCCCCATGAGCGTTTTGTTGGCAACCTGGGGGCAATCTGCTCCTCCCTATCACAGCTGGTGCTTGAGCCCAAGGGGCCAGCGGACAAGTCTGCTGGCGTGCTACTGGTTCCCCAGGACTCAAGTAGACCATCCAGGAGCATGGAGACTTGTGATCTGATCTCAAGTGGGTAGGAGCCCCCACTATCAGAACAGAGAGAAGAGGATGGTGTGGGATCATCATGCAGTGGCAGAGGAGCATGGTGGCCTTCCCTCTACAAGACTAGACCAGGAGGAAGGGTATGGCCTAATAACCATGGTTTCTGCCCCTAAGGAGTCACATGGCCTGTGGCTAGGCAATCTGAATGCAGTTGGCTTGGGACTAGCCTAACCATTCTGTCCTGCTGCTGATAGCTAGATGCTGTAGAACTGCCAGCTCAGGAGTGTGAGAGCAGGGTGGGTCCCACTGCAATGTGGTGCAGTGAAAACCCTGGACTGTTCCAATTCCCCTGAATGGTCTCTGTGGCACAGGAGAGGCACCTCCAGCCTCTCTGGAAGATATCCCCAGTGGCCTAGAAGCTGACCCTAGAACCTTGCCAGCCACCTTGGCAGTAGAGCTGGGATGGGGACCACTGGGAACCCCATGAGCTCACTCACTGCCTAGGAGCTCTGATACCTCTCCTAATTAACAAAGGCCAAGTAAAAATTTTACACCATTGCAACTACCTTGTGCCTGCAAGTGTGAGCTACTGGCTGGGAGATCAACCTCCATGACCCCCTTGGACAGTGTTTGGCCGGCTCTTGCCTGCAAGCACCACCTACTGGCCTGTAGAGTGAACTGCACAACCCAATGTAATTCTGTGGACAACAGTACACACAGCTCTGGAGAACAAGATGAACCTCCAACACCTCCAACTCCCCATCTCTGTAGGAGACAGTAAGCCTGCTCACACGCACAGTACACCACTATTACAACCTAAAAACAACCAGCATTTGAGAAAACCACTACATTAAGGCTATTGGTAAATTAATTCAGAGCTTTGGCCCCCTAAAAACAAAGAGAAGTGGACTATGCACTTACCTTGCAATGCTCTACTTCAGGAATGAAGGTGAGATAAAGACTCTCAAATAAAAGCTGCGACAGTTCATCCCCGCTAAACCTCCCTTATAAGAAATGTTAAGGAAATTCTTCAAGCTGAAATAAAAGGATGCTAATTATTAACAGGAAAACATGAATATAAAATCCATTGGTTAAAAAGTAAGTACATAGTCAACTCAGAATACTCTAATAACCATAATGGTGGTTTGCAAATCAACTTATATCATTAGTATGAAAGTTAAAAGACAAAACTTTAGGCCGGGCACGGTGGCTCACACATGTAATCCCAGCACTTTGGGAGGCCAAAGTGGGCGGATCACCCAAGGTCAGGAGTTCGAGACCAGCCTGGCCAACATGGCAAAACCCAGTCTCTATTAAAAATACAAAAATTAGCTGGGTGTGGTGGTGTGCACCTGTAATCCCAGCTACTCAGGAGGCTGAGGCAGGGAGAATGGTTTGAACCTGGGAGGTGGAGGTTGCCGTGAGCTGATATTGTGCCACTGCACCCCAGCCTGGGCAACAGAGCAAGACTATGTCTCAAAAAAAAAAAAGACACAACTTTAAAAAATAATGGCTACAATAATTTGTTAAAGGATATATGATATAAAAAGATACAAATTGTGACATCAAAAACAAAATAGGGAGCACAGAGTAAAAGTATACAGTTTTTTTAAATGCAACAAAAATTATTAGTCTGAAATATCCTGTTGTTTTATGTAAGCCTCATGGTAACCACAAACTAAAAGCCAAGAGTATATGCACAATAAGTAAACAGTAAGGAGCCAGGGGTAGTGGCTTATGCTTGTAATCCCAGCACTTTGGGAGGCTGAGGTGGGTGGATCACAACGTCAGGAGTTCAAGACCAGCCTGGCCAACATTG